GAGCACCACACAGAACATACCTATTTCTGAATACCTTTGATACCTGCAAACCCTAAGCCTCTTAGACAAACCATTCTATCCACCTTGGAGTCTCTCTCTATAATTCCTATCTGAAACTAGAGGCCCGGTGCATGGATTCATGCACCAGTGGGGCGCCTCTGCCTGGCCTGTGGGGATCAGTGGACCTCCGCGCCACAGCAGCCCAGCCATACCCGCCAGCCCATCGGGCTTCAGCCCGCTGTCCATGTCGATCCCGCACAGCACGAAGTAGTGTGCGAAGCAGCAGGTGGCCAGGGAGGAGCCAGAGCCCAGGCGGGCTGGACGCAGCGCCACTCCCTGTCATCCCCGTTCTGCTGCACCTGCTGCTGCCACTGCCACTTGGGTGCACAGGGGGAGTATCGAGGGAGAGGCTTGCGCTGCTGCAGCTGTGCTGACTAGCCATGAATTCGGTGTCTGGCACCTGTGTGTCAGCTGAGCAGCACTCCTGCTAGGGGAGCACACTGACCACCAGGGGGCAGCTCCTGCATTGAGTGTCTGCCCCCTGGTGGTCAGTGCACGTCATAGCTACCGGTGGGTCATCTAGGCATCTGATCGTCCGGTCATCCAGTTGCTTAGGCTTTTATTTATATAGATGATCTCCCCCCTTTCTATTTTCCCTGACTTATATAAATATCATCTTCGAAACTTTATTTTACTCTTTTACGTACAGTGTTACTAGTGAGTCTTGTTTTATAACATCTGGCTTGTGTGTCCCTATTCGATTAGAGCAAACAATAGTATTTAATAGATGTCTTTGCTTTTATTCTGCATTAATTCTAAAATCAAAGTTCCAGAGACAAAAATACTCAAACATGACAACATAAATACTATAGTTAAAGGTATATTTAACTAGAATTTGCAGAGAATATAGAATTTCGATCAATTAAATTTCTGATTAGGAAGGAAAGATTTGTTTCAAAGCTTTCTATAAAGACTTTAAAATTATGTTAGTACAAAAGTTCTCATCTTAGTTAAGGACAGTGTAGCAACTATAGCAATGCTTATTTGGTGAAGAGGGTTTTAGCCAGGTATCTGCCCACCATGTTAAACAATTATAAGTACCAGACAGATAAAGATGAAAAAGGTATTAGAGACTAAGCTAAGTATATTCTGACTCTTAAAGAGATCGTAACTAATAAGAGTTAAATTTTTTGGCATTTTTTTTTTTGTGGGGTAGAAGTAATTTATTGGAAGAGAGAAGGAATAGTTTATGAAGGTTTAAGATTAGGTAGGATCTCTCGGGGGAGGGGAGAGTGGTCTTGCTATGTACAGATCAAGAGGTTTCAAGATTTATTGTTAAAACTAATGAGTGACAATGAATAATTAGAAGAAAAACTTCATTTGCTTTTTCTGAGTCCCTTTGAGCACAGGGAAAGAACCCAGATTTAAAAGGTAACACAACTTAGAAAAGAGAGCTCCTCTTTCTGAGCTCTAACAGTTAGTGCCACAAGACCTGGAGGAGAAATCTGACCTCCCCCTCCCCCACCCCATTTTCTTACCTAGGGAGTGAGGAACTCTAGTGTTTGAGGTTCCCCAGATCTTTGCCAGGACAATATTCTCAGCTTGTCTTGCAAAATCAAATACACTTTTATTGAGCATTTACTAAGTGGAAAGCATCATGTCATTTTACAGGATATAGAAATGCTAACACAGTACCAGCCCTGGAAAAATACCTACCTCGGGAGCCAATGGACATACCTTTGAGAGATTTCTCCAGTCACACACTGTTTCCCTTAGAAGGGGCCGTTCCCACTGACGCACGCGTGCTGAAGAACAATAATACGCCTTTGCCCTGGACCAGTGGACGCCAGGTGCCCTGCAGGGCTTCAGTGGACATTTTCCTGCCTTCTATGTGACAAACCACGCATTCACTCGGGACTCCTCTAAGTAGTTGGAAAGCAAATAATTAATCTCTATTTGATTTAAAATAACAGTAAAATTGCTGATAATAATCATGATAACGAGAACAGTAACAATAAAGGAACCCACCTGTGAGTTATTTCAATTCACCTAGGGATTTAAACTAAAAATCATCTCTGAAGCTAAGCATAGAGTGGTGTATTTTAAATATTCTTTAGAAAGAGTGGTGAACTATTAATCTAACCATCTAGACAAAAATCTGGGAAGATGCATATGGGAAGTCAAATATAAATATATCAAAACTGAGCTTAATGCTTCTTTTCTGTTAACTGATATTTTGCCAATATGTTATGGGCTTCATCAGAAAACACGAACACAAACTCTTGTTTGGGCATCAAAGCATTTTTCAATTCTGGCTTAGGTAATAAAATAAATGTGCAAAATCACAGATCCAGAACCTGCTTTGTGTAGCTAGTTGTTTTATCACAGCATTTAAAAAAAGATAGCTATGTACATTTAACTTTAGTACCTGGGAAAAATTTGGAAAGTCGTCAAGAGATTGATTTGCAAACAAGGAGAAGATGCTAGCTATTTCTCAGCATGGCTTATTCAGAATAAATTTCACTGGATTAATCTGATCTCTTTAGACAGAGTGACGTACCTGACAAATGATAGGCTGTGGGTGTTTGAGAAGAGGGAACGAAGATAAAATATATAAGGAGATGTCAATGGCTTGGGTACATGCAAAATTAACTTCATGTTAGTTTATTCTAGACACATGAACACATACTACTTTTCCAAATAATCCTCTAGTCCCATTCGAGGCTCAATTACCTCCTCCATAAAATATAAGGATGAGCTAGATTAGTGTTTTTCAAGTTGTGTGCCATGGCCTTTTTGCAGATCATGAGAGTAACCGAGTAGGTAAAAATTAGCAATTTAAAGCATACGAAGTAAACTAGAATAGAAACCATCAGAGTGCATGAACTAAGGGTAAATACTCTTTTGTGTAACCTTTGTTTCAGTTGTGTAGTGTGTGTGTGTGTGTGTGTGTGTGTGTGTGTGTGTGTGTGTGTGTTTAGTGGGATATAAAATACATTTCTTACTGTGGGTTGCAGTAAAAAACACCACAAAGCCACTGGATGTATTGATATCTAAGATCCTATTTTACTGTTTTTTCTTGCCTCAGCTAACACTTATGGCACATACTAGGTGTCTATCTTCCCTTCTGGATATAACATAATCTTAGATGAGGCACCCAATTAACAAGGACATATAAATGTTGAAATTATTAGTCTGATAGATTACAATTCTATTTTGCCTGTTCATATAACAATAAAGTACAGTTCAATGACATCACAAATGCATTTCACTTAAGTAGGTTCAACTAGATGTATTTAGCAAGCACAAAATTAAAAACATATTTACTTTGGCTCCTAAATGCAAACCAAAGACTTCATTTGGTGCTCTTCTGAAAACAACAACAACAAAACAAAACAGAAAACCACCAGTAATCCTTTCCAACACTATGAAAGAAACTATTTAGAACTTATTAAGAGTTGGCAAGTAACCACCAAGCCACATGCATGGTACTTAAGAGAAATTAGAAATAATACGATTTTACATAATAGACTCTAAAAACCCAGCCCTGTGTGAGCTTCAACCACATTGGAATCCCATTGTAAAATAGGAGCTTAGATTGCTGCCCTTCTCACCTTCCTTCTGAAGAGCATAGGTCATTTTTCTTCTTTTTAACCCCCTTTTCTTCCTCTTCCACCTCTTCCACTTCCCCCCTTTTCTCTACCCTCCCCATCCTTTTTTTCTTTTTTTACCACAACTGAACCTTAACCATCTATAATAATAAAAGGCTAATATGCTAATTAGACCAGACGTCATTCCAGACATCCTTCCTGACAAATCCAGGGCCAGAGGGAGCCAGCCTGGATCTCGGGTGCCTGCAGTCAGCCCGAGGGAAGCCAGCCCAGGTCCAGCATTCCTGCTGGCAGCCAGAGAAGGGAAGCCAGGGTCCCGGGTGGTGGAGGGAAGCCGGTGCCAGCAGCTGGGGGAAGGAAGGCCTACTCTTGGGTGAATTTTCGTGCATCAGGCCTCTAGTTTTATATAATTCATTAAAAATGTCATATGTAACTTGTATGTGAGTTATGAAGCCTAGTAATAAAGTAAACCCACTATCAACTTAAGAACAAGAAAGTGCATGTAAAACCAACTTCATGTTAGTTTTTTCTAGTATACGTTCTGTCCCAGCGAATCCTTGGCATCTCTTTCCCCAAAAGGTAACAACAACCCGAGTTTCATATTTATTACTTCTTTCTACTCTTGTCCCCATTACATAAGTGTATCTCTAAATAATATCTTTTGCTTTGGTTTGTAATGACTTTTATTAAAATGGTATGAAGCTTTGAGTATATTTGACAATTCACGCATGCAGCTAGAGTTCATCCATTACCCATGTTGTAGAATGTTCCGTTCTCTGACTAACCACAGTTTATTTAGTCACCCTCCTTCCAGGGAGCTGCTATGAATGTTTGTTAGGTATCTTCTGGTGCACATATGCCCGAAGTTCTCTTGGATGGAGTTTCCCCATCTTTTTACATCATGGCAATATCAGACCCTGCACTGACCTGCGACTGGCTTGAGGATGGAAGCTGCTCTGTTCCCACTATACAACCCCAATAGCACATCTGTGGCTTCTCCTTAACACATTGGTCTACCACTTCACATAGGTTAGAATCTCTACTATAAGGTGCACCTTGTCTAGGCAAAGGATTGTCAGGTCCCAGGGTGCTAGAAAGCTTAATTTCACAATGTAGTTTTTCAAAATAGTCATGCCAATTGTAAGTATGAGTAGCAACATATGTCCCTTGTGCCACATCCTCACTATAGTTTATATTAGACATTAATTTTTTCCAGTTTAGTGAATATGAATTATATCTTATCTTGCTCTTATTTGTATTACTAATGAGTTTGAGCATTTTTTCATGTAATTATTGCCTTATATATTTACTCTTGGTGATATGCCTTTGGTTTACTTTTTTTTTTTCTTATTGACTTGTAAGAGTTCTTTGTGTATTCAGTATAGTACTTTGTTGGTTATATGTTGTCTTAGTCAGCTTGGCTGTTATAAACAAAATTCCATAGACTTGCTTAAACAACAACAAAAAAATTATTACTCACAATTCTGGAGCCTGGAAGACTGGTCAGGGTGCCAGTGTGGTCGGTTTTTGGTGAGAACACTACTCCTGGCTTGCAGAAATCCACTTTCTCATTGTGTCCTCACATAGAGGAGAGAGAGAGAGAGAGAGAGATCTCTTCTTCTGAGGGCACTAATCCCATCATGGGGACCCCATCCTCATGACCTTATCTAATCCTGATAAGCTCCCAAAGGCCCCACTCTCCAAATATGACCACAGTAGGGGTTAGGGCTCCAACATATGAATTTGAGGGGTAAAAGGGGAACACGTAATCCAATAGTATATGGAACTTCTAGTTTTCTATTGATCTTTTCACTTTGCTTATGATACTTTTTACAAATAATGGTAAGCTTGCTCACAAAGTTATATTTTTGTAGAACAAAATTGTATTATAAGTACTTCTAAGAGTTTTAAAGCTTGACTTTATTCATTTAATTTTTAATCCACCTGGAATTTCTTTTTGTGAACTACTGGAGGTGGAGATTCAATTTCATTTTTGTCCACATGGATAATAGTCCAAGTACCATTTACTGTGTGGTACATACTCCCCCAATGAACTGCTATGCCACCTGTGTCATAGTGAACACTTATAAAAAATTCTATCAAGTTTCCATGTAAAAGTGGATTTGTCTCTGAGTTTCCTATTCTGTTGCATTGATCAATTTGATTATCCCTGTGCCAGTACACTGTCTGAGATACTATCCTATATAATAAAAGCCTAATATGCTAAGTGTCTGGTCATCCATTCAACCAATCAAAGCATAATGTGCTAATGATATGCTAAGGCAGCTCAACTGCTCACTATGACATGCACTGACCACCAGGGGTCAGATGCTCCGACAGGTAGGTTAGCTTGTTGCTGGAGTCCGGCCTATCGGGACTGAAGGAGAAAGGCTGGACACACCCTGGAGTCTTCCTGGAGTCCCCATTTGGCCAACCTCCTGCATCTGTCCCTGGCCCAATTGTGCACTGATGGGGTCCCTCAGCTTGGCCTGGGCCCTCTCACAATCTGGGACCCCTCGGGGGATGTCGGAGAGCCAGTTTTGGCCCGATCCCGCAGGCCAGGCCAAGGGACCCCACTGGTGCATGAATTCATGCACCAGGCCTCTAGTACATTTATAATACTCTTGACACACAGAATAGCAAAATACTCTAGGTTGTTATTCTTCTTTACAAAATCTTGACAATTCTCTGGCCTTTGTTCCATCATGTAAATTTTATAATCACCTTATCAAGTTCCTTTGAGGATTTTTATAAAAACAATAAGCTATAGTTAAAATTGGGAATAACTGAAATTCTTACAAATTAAGATTTCCTACCCAAGATCATGGTTTACATCTCCACTTATTAGCTCTTCTGTGTATTTCATTAAAATTTTAAATGTTTATCAAATGGGTCTTAAATGTTTCATTATATTTATTTCTAGGTATCTTATATTTTGTTGAAATTATATATAATTTTTGTTTGTTTCCCATATATAGATGTGTAATTCATTTTTAAGTGTTGGTTGTATATCCAGCCATTTTAGTAAATTTTCATTTTAATTCCAAACACCTCTATAGATTTTCATGTATAAAATAAGATAATTTGAGAATAAAAGCATTCTGTTTCACCTTTTCCAAATTTAATTTAATTGCATTAAAAAACTTTATTATTGTCCTAACTAGGTCCTCCAGTAAAATGTTTAATAGAATTAGTGACAGTGAACAACTTTGTCTGCTTTCTGATTTTAAAGCATATTCTTCTAACTTTTGACAATTAAGAGCCAATGTTCATTACAGGTTTTTCTAAAAAGTTTCCTTTATTCCTAGTTTTCTAAGAATTTTGTTTGGATGTTAAATCATGAATGTGTGTTGAATTTTATCAAATTCTTTATCTATCTATCATCTATCTATCTATCTATCTATCTATCATCTATCTATCTATATCTATATATCTATATGTCTATATATCTATATCTATATCTATATCTATATCTATATCTATATCTATATCTATATCTATACCTAATCTATATCTATATATATTTCTTCTTTAATCTATTACTAAAGTAATTATATTCATTAAGCTTCTAAAGCTAAACTTTCCATGCATTCCGGGGACAAATTAAACTTGGCCATGCTGAATTAGTGTTTCTCATGCACTACTATGTCCAGTTTTCTAATAATTTGCTCAAGATTGTCAAGCTCATGATTATGAGTAGAATTAGACTGTAATTTTTTCATTCTTTTTCTCTTGTATTTTTAAATTAAGTAATACTAGCTTTATTTAATAATTGGAGAGTGTTTCTTTTTATTCAATTTTCTAGGAAAATTTAAATTTGAAAGAATATGTCCTTTGACTATTTTGCAGAACTTGTATGTAAAACCACCTGTTTCTACTATTTTTCTAGGTGAGATTTTCAACCACTAATTCAGATTTTTTTTTTTTAATTATGATAGTACTATTTGGACTTTCTGTTTCTTCTTTTGTCAGATTTTGAAATTCAGATTTTTAAAATATGTGTCCTTTCTGTTTATAGTTTAAAATTTATTAACATACAGTTATTCATATTTATCTCATTTTTAAATATGTCATATCTTAGCCCCCTTTTATCATTATGGATGCTGATTATAAATATCCTTTTATGTTTTAAAATGACTCTTTGTTGGAGGATTTTGTATTTCATTAGTCTAAAAGAATTGGCATTTGTCTTTATTCATCCTTTATATTACATTTTTTTTTTTACATTAACATTTTTTAGATATTTTTTAAATTGATTTTTAGAGAGAAAGGAAGGGAGAGGGATAGAGAGGTAGAAATATTGATCACAGAGAAAATCATTGATGGGTTGTCTCCTGCACATCCCCCACTAAGGATTGAGCCCACAACCCAGGCATGTGCCCTGACCAGGAATCTAACCAGTGACCTCTTGGTTCATGGGTCAACACTCAACCACTGGGCCACACCGGCCAAGCCACACTAACTTTTGATCTTCATTACCTCTTTCAAATACATTTGTTGGATTAATTCTATTGTTATAGCTTATTTAAGGGGTTGGCAAACATTTCCATAAAGGGCCAGATTATAAATGTTTTAGGTCTTATAATGTAAGCCATACAGTCTCTGCTGCAACTATTCAATTTACGCCATTGTAACAGGAAAAGAGCCATAGCAATATGTACATAGGCATGATTATGTTCCAATAAAACTTTATTAACAAAAACAGGGTCAAAATTTGGCTCTTGGGTCACATAGTTCATTTAACCTTGGTCTAACTTTTTGATTCTCAACAGCTGGTCTGTAGATTTCTTCAAGGTTGTGGGGTCCCTGAGAATCTTTCAGGAGGTGAGGTCAAAACTATTTGCACAGCCCTAACTGGTTTGGCTCAGTGGATAGAGGTCTGATTGCAGATTGAAGGTCCCAGGTTCAATTCTGGTCAAGGGCACATGCCTGGGTTGCGGGCTCAATCCCCAGGTGGGGGTGTGCAGGAGGCAGCCAGTCAATGATTCTCTCTCCCTTCCTCTCTGAGGTCAATAAAAATATATTTTAAAAAAACCTATTTGCACAATAATGCTAGGTTGTTATTTGACTTTTTCAACATGTTACCTTAAATTGACAGTGCAAAAACAAGGGTGAATAAAATTGCTGGAACCTCAGCACAAATCAAGGCTGTGGTCATTATATTTTTCACCAATGCATTCTTGCTATAAAAATAAATGCCAATTTTATTTAATAATGTCTTTAATGAAATTGTACAAATTATTTTATTAAATGTTAATCCCTGGTTGCATTTTTAAAATATTATACCTGTGGAATTGGGATTTATACATAAAGCACTTACGTAACTGTTGGAGTTGCAAGCTCAACTAGTCATTTTCATCATGGAACATCATTTTAACTTTAAAAAAGAACTAGACAGATTATGGGTACTAAGCTTCTAATATTTGGCAGACATTTTCCCCAAAATGAATGAAATGAGCCTGAAAACAACTGAAAATATTTATTACCAATGTCAAAATTTGAGCTTTCAAGTAAAATTGGAAATTAGCATTGTATCTGTCAGTGAGCTTGACAGTTTGCCAATACTTAAAGGCTGTTCAAATGAAATCAGTGGTGATTTTAATAAGTGTGTTTTTCTGTTATAAGATAATAAAATATGTCAACATTCAGAAGATCTTTGCAACTTAGTGTACCAATATTTTCTTGATTATCAATACATAGTATTACAAAATCATGCATGGGTAAAAAATCCTTTTAAAGTGCAAGACATACTGATAGCTTTCATTGTAACAGACCATGAAAGATTCACTGATGTGGTTTCAGATTCCACATTGCAACTAACCTTTAAAAGATTATCACTAGTGGAGATTTGGCATAGTATCAAAGAAAAATTTTTCACAATCATGTAAAAAGGCTGTTAAAATACCCTCCTTTTCTCGATACATGTCTGGGTGAGGCCAGATACTTTTGTACATTTCAACCAAACTAATGTTTTATAACAGGTTAAATGCAGGAACAGATGTGAAAATCTAGTTCTTTTCTGTTGTCAGACATTAAAGAGATTTTCAATAATGTAAAACAATTCTACGTTTCCAACTAAATTCTTTAGTTTGGGAAAATATATTTTATTAAAATGTAAGGTATATATGATGTGTTATTATTTTTAAATGAGTCCATAAGTGTCTTAAAAATTTACTTCTAATTCTATAAATATTGACAGTTATAATTACATGAATAAAAGCTCTTTTTAATTTAATTTTATTTCTATTTTAATTGTTTGAAATTACCATAAAATATATTAGATATGAATGTGTCATGATTGTGGCTTAATAAATATTATTTAATTATTGAAAAAAGCCTAAAAATAAAAGCTCTTTAGGGGCCTTGATAATTACTAAGAGTGTTACATGGTCTTAACACTTAAATGTTTGTGAATAACTGGTCTAGATTATTAAATTGGATATGTAGCCTATTAATGTTTAGCCTTTATTCTTTTTTAATGTAATAATTTTAGATTATAAATGGCCCTCACAATCTGTTTGCACCTGCTTCCCATAAGATTTAGTATACAATATTGTTGTATCCCTCACTTCTAGATAAATTTTACATGGTATTGGTGATGTTCGTTTTAACCCAAGAGTAAGTTAGAAGAATGGTATGTTTTTAATTTCCAAAAATGTGCAGATTTTAATTTATCTTTGTTATTGACCTCTAATTTAATTGCACTCTGGAAAGAAAATATAATCTATATAATAACAATTCTTTGAAATTTTTTGTGACTCGTTTATGTCTTAATATGTGGTAAAATTTATAAATATCTCATATGTATTGACAATAATATGTATTGTCTGTTTTGAGGGTGAATTCTATAGATGTCCATTGTATCATTTTTGAACATGAAAAGCTTAATTCTTCTCTATCTTTACCAATATAGTGTTTACTTGATTTAATAATTGAGGGAAGCATGTTAAAATCTTTCACTGCAGTAGGGATTTTGCCCATTTATCCTTGTAACTCTACACTTTTTTTTCTCATATTTTGAGTCTACGTTAGTAGGTCAACTCAAAAATGGTATAGTTATATACTTTTGGTAAATGTAAATTGTTATAATTAAATAGATAATCCTATTACTCCCCAATAATGTTTATTTATTCTTTTACTTAAAGTCTATTTTTTTAACATTAATACAGCTGCTCTACTTTTATTGTGGTTAGTATTTGCCTATTTTTGTGTTATTAGTTTCAACCTTTCTATATCTTTAAATGTTGCTGGCATTTCTTGTAACAGTATGTCAATGGATTTTATTTTTAATCAATATAGCAAACTGCCATTTAATTAGCATATTTAACCTGTATTTATTATAAATTATGATACTTTTAGATTGTTTCTACCAACTTGCCTTTTTTCTTGCTTCTTATTACTGATTGAAAGTTAATTTTGTTTTTTTATTATTATACTTCCCTTTTTCAGTTTAAAAGTTATGTATACTATTTCTATAATTTAAAGGTCACTCTTGAAATTTTTACTTGCATGCTAACTTAATGCAATATAAATTTTAAAATTTCTTATCCTGAATAATATAAAAATTTTAGAACATTTTTACTCTGACCAACCCCACTCTTCATTGATGTGGTAGCCAGGCCCAGTATTTCAATCCTGTCTCTTTAAACTCCATAAATTAAATATTATTTTAAATTAATTTATACAGACAACATACTTTAAAACTTATTTTTGAGTTTAGTAAATCATGTGTTCTCATCTTTTCTTACATTGCTACCATCCCTCCTGGACTCATTTTTATTTGACTTGAAGCATATTCTTTCTTTAGAAGTTCCTTTAATGAAGATTTGCAGATGATAAAATGACAATAAACGTGTTTTGTTTATACTAAAACCTTTTTATAGCCTCATTTTTGAAAGATAATTTACTAGATACACAATTCTAGGTGTATAGCTATTTTCTTTCAATATATTTTTTTCTGCTTTTATTGTGTCTGCTATTGCTGATGCAAACTCTTCTGTCGGTAATTATTCTTTTGCAAGTGATCCCTTCTCACTGGCTGCTATTGAGATTTTTCTTTTTGTCTCCAACAATTGAAGAGTCACCACACTATGTCTAGAAGTAAATGTCTTCTTATTTTTACAACTTGATAAAATTTTGCTCACTCTTATCAGTTCCAGGAAGTTCTGAGCTGTTAATTGATTATTAAAACTCATTCATTCCCTCTAGTTTCTCTTTATGACTCCTACTAGATGTCTGTTAGACTTCTCATTCCAGCTTCCAGGTCTCTTACCCTGTTTTTCATATTATCCACTTGTCTCTCTGGATGACATGTAATAATCTATTCAGATCTACATTTATTTTATTAATTCTTTTTCTACCAGAATCTGTTTCTAATTAAAATGATATTTTTATCTTTAAATTTTTTAAAAAAATATTTTTATTAATTTCAGAGAGGAAGAGGGAGAGAGAGATGGAAACATCAATGATGAGAGAGAGAATCATCAATTGGCTGTCTCCTGCATGCCCCCTACTGGAAATGGAGCCCGCAACCCCGGGCATGTGCCCTTGACTGGAATCAAACCCGAGATCCTTTGGTCGGAAGGCCAACACTCTATCCACTGAGCCAAACTAGGTAGGGCTAAATTTTGTTTTTTATTCCCAAAACTTCTAAGGGATTTTTCAGGATTCCTGTAAATTATCTCATTTTATGCCCTATACATATTTTGTATACTTTAATATTTGATATTGTATACCTACCAATTTAATAACTGAAGTCTTTGAAAAATCTAGATCTTTGTTCATTGTTTTAGCTGACATTCACTCATGATCACATGTGTTCATATTTAAGTGATCTTCATCTATGGGAACCACCAAGCTCTAAATTAGGAATGACTTACTATAAAAAAAAAAAAAAGTTATTCATTTGCTTCTGCCAGAAAATTACCAAGCAGAGAGTATTCATTCTCATTTGAGGAGCCTGACTTAATGTGAAAATACTAAGTTTAGCTTTCCCATTACAGCTATTAGGTTTTTTATAATAAAAAAAAGGGGGAGGGCAGTGGAGTATTTTAGCAAGAAATTAACTTATCTCACATAAGTTTTAAAAAGATCACTCTGGCTTCACAATAAAAATAGACTACAGGAAAGATTCTAGGCATGGGGAAAATAGGTGAGATCATGACCAAGAGAGTGATTATAGTAACAAGACATGGAATTTAAGCCAGGCAGTGAGGGAAGTAAGACCAGCAAGTAGAAAGATGCAGAAAAGCTGGTAGAATCAAGGATGGAAGATCACAATGGGATTAAAGAATTGTTGGAGATGGACCAGAGGGAGTTAGCTGCACAGATAAGAACTGATACTGAATGCATGAAACTGAGATTATCCAGAGGTTTTAGCTATTGATAATGATAAGGTCGAGACTACCTATGGGAGTGTGTGGCTGAGATAGGTTGGAAGTCAAGAGCACTAGAGAATTGATCAATGACTGGCGAGGCCAGGATGTTCAAAGGATCATCTACTTACAGCTTGAGAGCCCCAAGAATTAAAAATTAAAGCAAGAAGGAAAATGTCTTTCTCTTTGTTGATATGTACAGACAACGACACTTTACTTAATCATCATGATACCTTGAGGAAGAAAATAAACAAACCATTTGTGTTTCCAATTTAAAAACAAAAACAAAAACAAAAAAACAAACAACTTGGTAAATGACTGGCATAGTTCCCCAAATTCCATTTGGCATAAAAATTTCAAAATCTTCTAGGAGATGGCTATTATTCACCTTTTAATGGGTGATATTTCTATTTTATGTTTTCTTACTTCTACATGAAGCTCCCACTGTCAGAAAGGTCATATTTATTTCTTAAAATCAAGTCTAAGTATTACCTAGTCAAGGTTTAGTTCTTTTTATTTTGCTGTTCTTTCTGTCCTTTTAATTTCTTTACTTCCATCTCAAACACTTGAAAATGTTTGTCATATCCAGTGCATTTATCCAATTCTGTCATTATTCAGTAGAATTACACACTTTCTTTAATCTCTTTTTGATAAATTATTTCCAGTAACCATTTAGCATTATTCTGCTCTGGATTCTATATTTCTTTTTCCTTTTGGTGTTGACATTTATGCAACTGTGGTAACCTAGCCTTTTAAAAGGTAGAGGTCTCTGTTTCCTGCACTGAGACCCAAGGACAATAGGTCTGTTTCTAATTGTGTCTAAGGCAATTTCTGCCTCTTCATCCAGTGTTACCTATGGCAGGCCCAAGCAAATGATCACCCATTTAAAACAATTTATGTTCTTATAAAACTACCTCTTAGAATTTACTCTTCAGTTTGCTTCACAATTTCAACCTCATGATTTACTGTCACTTTTATCTGGTTTGCTTCATTTTCAAAATCACTAACAAAGGCAAATGAATAAACAAATAAGGACTAACTACTGGCTTTGAAACCCATCTATAGAAAAGCTTCTTCTCCCACGCCCAGTCAATCTTCAGTTTACAAACACTGTCTGACATTTTGCTGTAGGGAAAAACGTATGTGTGCCAGATGCGTTCATATAGTACGTTGTCTCCTTGAGTGTTCACATCAACTCTTTGAAGATGTTGTTTTTCATATGTGAAAACTAAGGCTCAGAGAAAGGAATAAACTCCAGAAGGTCACACAACTAATTAACAACACAGCAAGGATTTGAATTCAGTTTTTCCAGCTCCAAGTCTAGTTCTTATCCCACTATCCTATATAATAAAGATGTAATATGCAAGTTGACCATCACACCCTTGCACAAGATGACCGCCCCATGTGGTCAAAGATGGCCACCACAAGATGGCCTGCAGGGGAGGGCAGTTGGGGGCAATCGGGACAGCAGGGGAGCAGTTAGGCATCAATCAGGTTGGCAGGGGAGAAGTTAGGGGGCTATCGGGCTGGCAGGCAGAAGTAGTTAGGGGCAATCAGGCAGGCAGGCAGGTGAATGGTTGGGAGCCAGCGGTCCCGGATTGTGAGAGGGATGTCCGACTGTCAGTTTAGGCCCAATCCCTAAACCGGCATTCGGACATCCCCAGAGGGGTCCCAGATTGGAGAGGGTGTAAGCTGGGCTGAGGGACAATGTATAAAAACACTGATTCTTGTTGCTTATTTTATTTTTAGGTTAGTCTCTTTAAATAAGCATGTCTAAATCTGAGTTTAATTTGATCTTTATCTAAAATATGTCATCAGTTGTTTGAGCATACGACACATAAGAATTTTTAATCACTTATTCTATACTAAATGGAAACAAATGAGCTTAGGTTAGGTTGATTTTTAATTTTTTAACCTGAGTTTTCTAGCAAGGCCCATTTATATAACACTCTGCTTACCTGGAGAGGTGGAATCCTAGAAATGATTTCAGCTGCTTTTCTGCCCAAAGATGAAAACATTGAGTACTTTCAGGACAGATCTTCACACTGTGAGAGGGTCCACTCGAGTGAGCCCCTCTTGTTAAGAAAACATGGGAAAGGGCCGTGAAGATTCATCACCATAGGAAAAGACCATAGTACAGACCTACTGTGGCTTGAACAAGATGGCACCTTTTGGCATCCATAATATAGAAAGTTCTGGAAGTGGAGTTGACCAATTTTAATAAGGAAATCAAGGCTTTCTGTTTCTTTAAGATTCAAGGAAAGGGGTAGCTCTCATATTGGACTATAGCTGCTCTGTTGAAGGTCCACTTACATGAGAGGCCCCCAGAGGCCCCAAAGTCAAACCTACTAGTAAGTATAGGGACACGGGGACTGGCTGTGACTTGACCTCAATACAAACACCTGAAGTTTGGGTTGCAGAACTGGTTCCAGCATAGTCCGTACCTGTGTCTGAAAGGCCCTCTGGATTTAGCCACTCTGGAACAGTGTTGGGGTTTGAAGAAAAATATAGCTATGCAACTAAAATTGACTTTAAATCTGTTATTCTGATTTCCTGGGAAAGGCATGCAGGCCCCACTGCATCCCCACGGGTGTGGAGCTGATACATGGAATTGTTCTGTCATCCTCTGGACAGTGCAATCCCCCAGAGTTCCTGGACAATTCTAAACTGAGTGGACCTCAAAAGTGAAATACTAAACTTCCTGAACATAAATGCAAATGGGATTTCATGCAATTGCTTTAAAAACTAAAACTGATTTGTTGTTGTAACCTCAGCTTGGAAAATAGGCTTTTTCATGTGCACACTGTATTCTTGATGCATTTTCATAGCTACCTCTTTAGGAGTCTCTTTGCCCCTCTTCTTTTCCGCCCCTTTCAAACTCTTTTCTACCTGGTTAATCTTTCTAAGACATCAACTTTGCCCCAAAAGTCTGCAGTGGCTTCTTATTGCCCACAAAACAGTATCCACACTCTCATCCTGTCTTTTGACACAGTCCACATTCAGATCCCTAACCCCTGAAAGGATGTGGAAAGAAATACATATTTATTATCTACTAGGGGCCCAGTGCATGAATTCATGTACCTTAAAAGGAACTGTGGGCTGTGAGGCTGTGGTGGGTACAGGGACAGGTCTTGGCCCATCCTCTACACCCCCACCCGGCCCCTCCTGCTATGGTCCCTGGTCCCCTGTTGGCCGGCAGCCCTGCTCCCTCCACCGCCACTCCCATGCGCTGACAGAGAGCATCTGCTGACAGCACCAAGCCATTGGGGCCGGCACCAGCAGCGAGTGCAAGCAGCGGCTGCTGCCCCAATCACCCCTCAGGAGCAGGGGGAGGTGGAGAAGCCCTCAAGGGAGATCAGGGCCAGCAGCTGCCACTTGCACCCACTGATGGTGTCAAGCGATCGGGGCTGGCACCAGGTGCTGGCAGCAAGTGCAAGCAGCAGCTCCGGCACTGGCTGAGGATGCAAGCAGGGCCAGCACTGGCAGTGGGTGCACACCGGGCCGGTAGCAGGTGTGAGTGCTGGGTGGGACTGCGCCGTGTGGGAGCAAAGAATTTTCAGTAACCACCAGAGGCTTGCCCTGATGACAGCAACCAGCGCCCCGCCTTGGTCTGGCACCCCCGTTCACCTGCTCCACCATCCCGCCATGGCCAATGCCCGGGCATCTGCACTCTGCTGATGCCCGCCATATTCTGTGTGCGCCCCCTGGTGGTCAGCGCATGTCATAGCAACCAGTTTTTCCACTGTTGGGTGTATTTGCATATTAGGGTTTTATATAGAGAGAGATTTTGTGAAACACTTTATATGTGCTATTCTCATTTAATTTCCTCTTCAACTTTATTTTCCACTACCATCTTAATTGAGGGGTGGCGAATTACATAAAGTACACAACTCAGTAAGTTTTTATATATGCTATGCACCCAAGAAACTGTTATTGAAATAAAGTTGCAGAACAATTATCAGTCCCTCCAGGAATCTCCCTCATTCCCTTGTCAGACTGTGCTCCCCAAAGGGTACCACTATTCTGACCATTATCACCAGAGATTAGTTTTGCCTATTCTGAACTTCACATAAATGCACTTGTATGGTGTGTACTCTTTTGTGTCCATCTCCCTTCACTCAGCCTTATTCTTCCATTCAACATAGTGAGATATCACTATAGAGTTGTTTGTTTTAAATACACATTTAGCTACTACATGTGAATATAACACAACTTAACTATTTAATCTTTTATTGATAGACAAATGTTTTTTCTCTGTGGGGGCTTTTATGAATAAAACTACAATGAATATTCCTGTATATGTATTTTTGTAAACAAACTCACTTATTTGTGTTGGGTATATTTCTAGAAGTAAAATTTTTGGGTTAGAGGGTGCATGAGTATTCAGGTTCATAGAAACTACCAGTTTTCCAAACTAGTTGAAATAATTTATACTCCAACCAGCAAGTAATGTATAAGAATTTCATTTGTTCCACATCTTTGTCAACCCTTGATATTAAGTTTTAATTTTCACCATTCTGCTAAATGCATAGTAGTATCTCATTATGATTTTAATTTTGATTTCCCTGCTGAACAATCACATTGGCCACCTTTTCATATGTGTATTAGCCATTTGAATATAATTTTTATAAAGTGCCTGTTCAAGTCTTTGACCATTTCTTTTATTAGGCAATTGTCTTTTCCTTATTGTTCTGTAAAATCTCTTTTTATATTCCGAATATGAGCTCTTGGTCAGATATTTTACATATATTTAAATATTTATGCATATATAAATGTAGATATAATGTTATGCAAATATCTTCTCTCAGTTTGTGGATTGTCTTTTTATTCTTTTAATGGCATCTTTTCATTGACAAGTAGTTCAGTTTATCAACCTTTTATTTTATGATTAGTGCTTTTTGTGTCTTAAGAAATCTTTCCCTTCCCAAGATTATGACAATATGGCAATATTTGCTCTTGTTCTCTTCTAGAAGTTTCTTTTACCACGTGCAGACACGCATGTACAGTGCGATTGAAACTTCGTGGCCCATGTGCAGAAGTCGGTATTTTGTGGAAGAGCCACACTCAAGGGGCCAAAGAGCCGCATGTGGCTCGAGAGCCGCAGTTTGCCGACCACTGGTAGACTCCTCAGCCTAAAGTGAACTTAACATATACTGCTTTACCCTGTAAGCTATTTTTACATATGCGTTACCTTGCTTGCAACTAGATTGCAGAACAGTTGACGGTAGGAATTGCCCATAAAGGCCAACCAATACATAACATTCCACAAATATGAGATGGTAGCTGATAAACGTGTGCGCCTTTTTTTTGTGTAGACCATCATGTGGACCTGCTGAGGATTATCTGCTGTACAGCCTTCCTGTGAGTGGTGCCGCTGTCATGCTCCAGTTGTGTCAAGTTGCGCGGGATGATCTTTAATTTCGTTAAGGTGGTATTGTCAGGGCTTCCCAGGAGTATTTTCTCTGTTTATATCCATAGTGTTTAGATATTCACTACCGTCTTTCCACATTACACACTTTTGATTAATTGTTAACATTCCTCAGTTTTTCTAATGTGTTGACCAGTGTGTTTTATTTTATTTTATCATTAGATAGAAAGTACAGGTAATTTTTATGTAGCTTCTATAAAAAAATTGAATGAAAGGAGAGAGAAAGTATCAAACATATGCAAAGCCTCCTGCACACTCGCTTTCCCACTTTTCACAGAGAGGAAAATCAGTGGGTCTAAACATCTGTCTTCCTTATCAGCTGTTTTGTGTCTGTCATCTAGTTCTGTGGATTTCCAAATATGTCAGTGTACCTGTTCAAATTCTTTTCCTGCTTTGTGACTCTAACAGAAGTGTCAGTATTTTTGGAAGTGTTTTTTTCATGCCCTTTTTCTTCAAGGAGTTTAAAAACAAAGCATTATCTCATTTATTCTGATTTATATTAGTTGCCTTGCTTGCTTTTGCTTTCCATATGAGGTACAAATGCCTGTTCTTCAACTTAGCTCCTTTATTCAGCTTATTCGTTCTGGTTTTATCATAATTATCATTTCCTCTTAAAAAAAAAAGAATAGGTATTATGAGAAATTTCTCTAGGGTTCCCTCCCAATTTCCTCACTGCCATTACAGAGCCCCTGTCCCATCAGTCTTGATCAGGCACGTTGGATACTCTTACTCTTTGCATTCTTCTTTTCTCAGAGCAATTGTAATCTGCTTTAATTATGGTGGATACTCCAGCAGCCTGCCCTTCTCCTGGGTCTTAGTATTCCCTCCTTCAATACCATACTCACTAGATTCTTATTTTAATTCCCCAAAATTAGCTCTCTTGAATTCTAATGCCCTGATAGGACTGCCTGCATTCTGGTTATGAGCAGGATCCCACCAGGTTTCAGAAATGCCGACGAAGGCAAAGCTTTCTGCATTTCTGCATACCTCGGATTGCTCTCGCTCATTTCTCAGAATCCTTCCAGGCCTCAGGCTTTGCCTTTCTCTCTGCTTAAATTGCTGTGGCAGATCCTTCCACAGGTAAGAGAAAATGTTGTTTTAGATGCCTGATATATGACATGACTTTTGACCATCTTATTTTTTTTTTAAATCTCTTCAGTAAAAGATATTCTTTGAAATAGCTACTTATTTTTTAAATATAATATTTTTTATTCCCCACACTCTACCTGTTACTCAATTATGCAGCCTAACTCATATACCCTCTGTCCAATACTGTCACCTTCCATGCTTTCTCTCTGTTGTCCACTGGAATTTCACATGGTGGGGAGTATGTGGAGGCCAATGGTGATACATAAACATACTCCAGCTCACAGAACCATTTTCTATCAGCACTTATAAACACACACACACACACACACACACACAAACACACACACACACACACACACCAGTGAATAGCTCATCTTTCCTAAAAATTTGCCTTTGATCATCTCAATACAACACATAAATATTTATACTCATTTTTATGAGGGTAGAGATTTCAGAGGCTCCATATTTATCTCTGAGAAGAAAACCTTGGGATATCTGTGCATGGATGAGAGAGACACACCCAGTTAATGACATACTCATGGTAAATTCATAATTGATTTCCAGTCCTGACTCCTGTCCTACAACCATGCTGCCTTCCAGCACTTATTACAGGGTCAATTGAAATGCATCCAATTACAGTTAAGTGAAACATAACTCAAACTAATTTAAATTAAAAAAAGAATTTATACTGCAGAAATATGGCAAATATTAAGTAAGGTTTAATCCAGTCATTCAATACTCCCACCAATTACCTATTTCCAGTTTTTCTCTCTTCGGCCTTTTGTAATGTCACTTCTTCCTAAAGAGGACTCCTATTGTGGTGCTAAGATGAGGTCCCCAATCTCCTGGCCTACCTGCTTCCTCTTCCTTGTTGGGGAAGAAAAAGAGCATTACTTCAGCATTTCTAGCAAGTCCTGATTATCCTTTGATTGGACCAGCTTTAGTCACACACCCCCTTCAACATCACTGAGACTGGGCCAGGGAATGCATTCACAGGCTTGGCCTGGTTTACATGCTCTAACCCTAATGTCAGGAGAAGAGCCTGTTTCCTAAGAAATACATGCTTTACAAAATAGAAATTATAGCTACTAAGGAGGGAAATGAGGAGCATATATTCTGGAATCAACACAAACACTTGAAATCCATAAAAATCTTACCCCAGAATATGTTGTTTACCCAATCTATACTGCAGGCCTATTGTAATAATGGCAATAGGAAAAACCCTTCCCAATGACTGCTCTCTCCTCAGAAAGAGCAAACACACACTCAAATAGAGCAAAAGCTGTCTCCTGGCTTCTAACAGGAAGTAGCTTGGGTACTTGGTCAACTGACTTAAAGTCTTTCCGTTTTTATTTCTCCAAGATTAAAAACAATATTGTTTTAGAGACAAATCCAGATAATACTAAAAGTTGTCCAATTGTGGTCCTATTTTGTCATTTTTTTAAACTTCTACTTCACAAAGACAGAAACAATTTCTAAATGTTTTGGTCAGATTAAAACAGTGATTGCACAAGATGATGGAAGCAAATGCTTTTCTGCTACAATGGGCAAACATTCTTCTTTGGGATAATAAATTTATTTCAATGCATAACATTCAAGGGGTTAAGAAGCAGGACCCAACCTGTTTGTCTTTGCCTTGGATTATTAGTCATTTAAAATCCCTTTACCGGAGATGATGGTTCCTCAGGGAAGTCTGCCAAACAAGAATGAGAAAGCTCAGGTGAGAGCCAGGGTGAGGGAGGTGAGCATTGCTGGAGAAATATATACAATGTGCAGCCATAGGGAGCCTACAAATAAGCAATCTCTCTCTCTCTCTCTCTCTCTCTCTCTCTCTCTCTCTCTCTATCTTTCTCTCTCTCTCTCTCTCTTTCCTTCTTCCTTCCTTCCTTCCTTCCTTCCTTCCTTCCTTCCTTCCTTCCTTCCTTCCTTCCTCTCATTGGATAGCCTTAATGCCAATTTTACCCTTCCACAAAAATGTTATTTTTTTATTGATCAAATTCTGAGCTAATTTAAAATGGAATTAAATAATAGTTTTCAGAACTTACCTACATTTTCCTATGTATATTATACATTGTTCAAGATAATTTATGAATGTCAACCTGAATGGACAGCTTACATTCTCCTAGTTCCTTCAAATGTGTCCTAATATAAAAGATTTTCTTTGTAACCTCTAAGGAGTATACAGACATTTAGTCAAAAGTACTAGTCTTTAATTCTGAATGTCCACAGAAATGTGATATTTAGGATTCTGTTTACTTTTCTATCTTGAAATTAAAAATAAAATGTATGTCTTTCTTGGTTCTTTACCATAACTGGATTAACTAATAAATAAGTATTTTTCTGAATATTTTATTCAGACTGCAGTACTTGGAATTTACATGAGTTTCAAGAACAGCTGTGACTTACCTGCTGCAAGCAATCACTAGCGAGTCCTTTCTTAGGGGCTCCAGTTTTCAAGGAGCTAAGTGTGACTTTGACATTTTTAAAAGAATCTTGGGTTGAGTCTTATAACAGAGTTATTGACAATACAAAGTTTTCTAGTAAAAAAAAAAAAATCAAATACTTCTGAAAAAAGAACCTAGTAGAATTCCTAAGGCATAACTTGAAAGGAATGGCAAATCATGTATCCTTGCCACCAATTAACCTTGACCTTAAGGCCAAAGGTCAGGGCTATTCCTATAGCTAAGTCCTCCAGGTGTGGTGCTAGGATGAAAAGGTGACAATTTGGAGGACAATTTACAAGCCAGACATTATCATCGGAAATGTTGATTCTGTGTCATCCTAAGAATTTATGGAAGCTGGAAGGAAAGCAAATATGTTGTGCTAATTCAAGCAGTTACAGCTTCCTTTCCTGTTATTCTGTACAGGAAAACTCCTACAGAAGTTGTAAATCTCACCTTTCTGCAAAACTAATGAGATGATGTCACTATGTGGGGCAATGACCTGGGGGCCCTATGAACAGCAGGCAGCATTAAAAGGGGCTTCCAAAATTTTACCTGGAAACAGAAGAACTAATCAGGAAACTAGAACCAACCTCATGTCAATGAGTCATTCTTTTTCAATGGAGGTACTACCTGAACCCACAATTGTAGAAAGGAAAGTTGATTGATTTTCACACTACTAGTTTAATAATTGTGGTAATAGATTTAGCTCTAGTCAGGAACAGTTCTTGTGTCTTCGCCATTATTTTTCATGGATTCATTTATTCAATAAGTAGTTATTGACCATCTAGACACTGAACTAGTCTCTAGGGAAACAAAAAAAGAGTAATGTACACTCCCAGGGTGTTCATCAGTTGTTAAATAAAGGTGCCATAAAAGCAAATAAAACCGGGACAAGTGCTATGAGAGAGAAATGCTGGCCTCATGACCAGGTAGCAGGATTTGCAAAATGCCTAACTGGAGTTCAGAATTTCAACTGTGTCCCTGAACCAAACTGATGCTGAAGGCCCCCAAAATGATTAAACTGAAGACCATGACCTCGTGTCTACAATATTCAACTAACCATAGACAAAACAAGGTAGGTGGTGAAAGAAAAGTCTTCAGACACACACCCCTCTGTCCTGGGCCTTGCTTTTTAAGGTTGCCATCCCTGTGGTTGAACTTCACTGTTAAAGCCACTCGACTAGGTGTAAGCTTTTTATTTTACATTAAAATGGAACCCCTGGGCTTTCTGGCACATATTCGTAATTAATTAATTTCTTCTTTCATTAAACAATAGAACATAGATGGGAACTTCAGGATAAGTGTAGGATGAGGCTTCTGGATCAATTATAAATTATCAACTTGGGATGCCTAGTTATTGCCCCATTCCCCCAACCCCCACCAACATCCACAATCTCCTATGACAACTGTGTCCCTGCCAGACTCAGGCTCATCCCTAACAAAAGTCTGATTTCTAAGGAAAATCACTACAATATTTTCATGTAGATAAAAGCAAGTAAAAATCAACTTTAGGGGCAATGCTGAAGGGTAAAAATTGATATAGGTGGAATTGGAGTGGGTTATAAAAGCATATTATCTGCTATTGTCTTGATGAGGATAACCGAGATCTTAGTGCATAGAAGGACCTTCATACATATTGTATGAATGAACATGACAAATGATAGCATAGATTAGATTAAGGTGAAAGGTATGCCCTTTTTGATTACTAATGTTTTATCTGAAACTATAAGAAGTTGACTATAAGAGTACTTTGTATGCATTAATTCATTTGATATTGTTTATTTTACACATATAATGAAACAGAGTTTGAAAAGAAGTGAAAAACTTTCCAAAGGTTTTCCTTAAGGCAACACAGTTAGTTGCTGCCTGGGCCAGAATTCAAACTCAAGTCTCAATTGATTATATATATAATATTATATCATATCATATCATATCATATCATGGTAATACCTCACCCTTATGTTCAAGCACTCTTTTTTTTGCCTGATATTAATTCATGATTATTGAGAACCTAAGTGTCCTTTGAAAGACCTGGATAAAGATGTGGTACAATAGAATATTACTCAGCCATAAAAAAGAATAAAATCTTACCATTCACAACCACATGGATGGACCTACACTGTATTATGTTGAGTGAAATAAGTCAGATAGAGAAATACAAATATCATATGATTTCACTTATAAATGGAATTTACCAAGCAAAATAAGTGAATAAACAAAACAGAAGCAAATTCATAAGTACAGAGAACAAACTGATGATCACCAGATGGGAGAAGTGCTGGAAGGATGAATGAAAAAGGTGAAGAAGATTAAGAATTATAAATTGCCAATTATAATAATAGTCAAAAGGATATAAAGCAAAGCATAGGGAATATAGTTAACAATAATGTAATAATTATGTATGGTTTCAGACAGATACTAAACTTATGGTGTAATGACTTTGTAAGGTGTATAAATGTCTAATCACTATGTTGTATACCTGAAAGAAATATAATATTGTATGTCAGGATAATTAAAAAATAAATTTTAAAATAAATTTATGAAATAAAAAGAATGTATGAGGAAATGGATATTACTGTATGAGGAAGAAAGAAGAAATCATTCTCAATAATGATGGCAAATAACCAGTTCTCCCCTAAATAGCTCATCAGGAGTGAAACACCTCCACTTCCTCATGGTAATCTCCTTGGGGGTAATACTGCCTATTCCACATCACCCACATCTCTGTAGAAAGTATTCAACAAAGACTACTAGTGAAGGCCATGCTATTTAGGTTGTTGTTCTCAAATGTCTTTAGTTCTTAGTGGAAATCTTAAGAAATCCAAGGTCTTCTGGAAATATAGCAAATATAATAGTACTAGAGGCCCGGTACATGAAATTCATGCATGGGAGGGGGGTCCCTCACCCCGGCCTGCACCCTCTCCAACCTGGGACCCTTCAGGGGATGTCCGACTACCAGTTTAGGATGCGGGATCAGGCCTAAGCCGGCAGTCAGACACGCCTCTCACAATCCAGGACCACTGGCTCCTAACCGCTCACCTGCCTGCCTGCCTGATCACCCCTAACCACTCTGCCTACCTGCCTGATGACCCTAACTGATCCCCTGCCTGCCTGATCACCCCTAACTGCCTCTGCCTGCCTGCCTGATTACCCCTAACTGCCCCCCCGCCGGCCGGCCTGATCGCCCCTAACTGTCCTCCCCTGCTGGCCTGGTCACCCCTAACCACCTCTGCCTCAGCCCCCACCACCGTGGCTTTGTCCGGAAGGACGTCTGGATGGATGTCTGGAAGACATCCAATCTAATTAGCATATTACCCTTTTATTAGTATAGATTAGAGACACAATAGTAATTTGGATTCACCTCTTACATACCTTTTCTGGATTAGTCATGACCTGACCCTGGCCTTTGAGTTTTACTGAGGTATTTATGTGTTCCATAGAATAGTCCATAATTTCTTCTCTTTACTGCACAGGAGTTAGTGGTTGATGATAGAAGCCCAAATCAAAGGTGATATTAAAATGGTCATCAATTATCCTATATAATAAAAGGGTAATATGCAAACTGACCCTAACAGCAGAAAGACTGGGAATGACTGGTCACTATGACACACACTGACCACCAGAGGGCAGAGGCTCAATGCAGGAGCTGCCCCCTGGTGGTCAGTGCACTCCCACAGGGGGAGCTCTGCTCAGTCACAAGACAAGCTGATGGCTGCCAGTACAGCGGTGGTGGTGGGAGCCTCTCCCGCCTCCTCAGCAGCGCTAAGGATGTCCGACTGAAGTTTAGGCCTGCTCCCCGCTGGCAAGTGGACATCTCCCGAGGGCTCCTGGGCTGCCAGAGGGATGTCTGATTGCCAGCTTAGGCCCAATCCCCCAGGGAGTGGGCCTAAGCCAGCAGGTGCTCATCCCCCGAGGGGTCCCAGACTTCAAGAGGGCACAGGCTGAGCTGAGGGACCCCCCTTCCCACAGTGCACAAATTTTTGTGCACTGGGTCTCTAGTCTATATATATAAAAGGCTAATATGCTAAGTGTCCATCCGACCAGTAGCTATGACACACACTGACCACTAGTGGGCAGACACTCAATGCAGGAGCTGAAGAGCTACAATGACTTGGCAGCGGCGGTTCTCCAGTGATGCACCCCAAAACCAGAGAGGAGGGAGCCCAGTTCCTCATGGGGCCACACGATTCTACCTTGGCCATGGGTTATGTTGTTGCTGGGGCACTGTCAGCCCCGAATCTGGTTTACTGCACACTTGTGTCACATCCTATATGACAGCAATTTTGCAGAGTCTCCCCTCGCACTCTGGGACTGCTTGGGGGATGTCGGAGAGCTGGTTTTGGCCCGATCCTCGCAGGCCAGGCTGAGGGACTCCACTTGCCAGAGGGACCTCGCTCACTCTGCAGATGCCCTGTGAGCCACGGTGCCACCCCAGGTGCAGCTGGCCAGGGAGGGACCGCCAGAGGTTGGCTCCAGGGTGTTTCCAGCCCGTCTCTCCCAGTCCTGCCCCGCTCCACTGGCCACCTTCTAATTTCCTTTCAGTGTGCAGGAACCCGTGCACCAGATCACTAGTTTATTGATAGTTACCAATAAACATCAGACCCAACTGGAAGGAATCACAGTTATGAATACCCAATACCACTGTTCCAAGGCTTACCTATTAAATATCAGCTCTTCCTGAACTTAGATTCAGACCCGTGTTTCCATCATTTCTATGGAATGAAGATTAATCACAATGTAACAATGTGGCATGCACACACGTGCTCACGAACCTGAACAAATACCTGAATTTTGTCCTTCAAATGAAGCAATCACCTCAGGAGTATAACACAATTATTTAATGTGCTGTCATTTTTGCTCAAAACACTTTTAAAATTCCTCTTGGAATTGCATTCAGGGTCAGTTTATGAACAACAAAAGATAATTTATCTTTTTTATAGTCACCCCTCATTTTTGACAAATTTATAATACCTACCTTCATTACCCTTAATCAGAAACAGCTCTCTATAATTTCTGGCTGCTTCCAAAAATCAACCCAACTTTCAAAAGACAAATATGTGTCCCAATTAAGTCCTAAAATGCACGCAAACAAATAGGATACAAACTATGAAAGAAACTATAAGGAAAGTGAAATTATATATACCAAAGGTCCCATAAGAAAAGGTACAGTCTTTTGTTATTCAAACTTTGAGACAATGTACCACATCTACATTTCCATCCACAGGAAAAGCCCTTCTTACTCAAGCTTCCATGTTTTGGACCATGTGGCTGGACTATCCAAACTTCACCCTCATTTACAGAGCACTGGACTAGTGGTGTACATCTAATTCAAGACAACCAATCTGCAGCTGGCCAATACCTGTGGTCTGGTTTAAAAAAATGAGTGGGGCCAATAGGAATCTCAATTTTGAGATATGAATTAAGAAACATAAAAGTAAATTTTCAGCACTGTGGAAGTTGAAGTTGAAAAGTGATAATATGAGAGGTGGAAGTGCGGAGTAAGCAGACAGAGGAGTAGAAAGGAGTAGAAATATTGTAAACAGGAAAAACAGAC